GTAGTGGCAGCTAGCGCTGCCATAGCTGTAGCCTAGCATGTGTGTGTGTGAAGTGTGATACTGAGTGTTGCGTGTGGGACATCCAGGGTGATCCAGAGTGCGAACAGTGAGTTGTGTGGGCGCTCAGTCGCCATAGCCAGTTTGAAGAGAACTCTTATGTGGATACGATATCTTAAGTACTGAGTGGGCGCCTGTCGCCAATTTGCTGTTTCGCTGTTTGCATACATGACAAGTTGAATAATCGTAGTGTGATTTCATTTGGCGTATTTTCCAGTCTAAATACAGCAATAATGACCCTATACATTGTGTTCGGGTGAAGAAGATATTGCTCTGTGTTTATTGTATTCCTCTGTGTGTATGTATAGGCTGACGGCATTACTCATTAAAATTTTATTATTTTTATTGTTTTTATGTTTTATTTTAGTCTCATTGGTTGATGGTGTGGTCTGTGCAGCTCAAGGGAAAATTCCAAGAGAAGCAGCAGTATTGGCGCTCACACAGGAAAGGGACTCGTTACGGCGAGCCATGATAGCTGTGAGTGTGCTGTGATCCTATTCCCAACAGGAACAAGACAACTTTTGAAAGTAGGTGTACTATAGTTGTACTATAGTAGGTAAGAGGGGGGTAAGTGTATAGTTGTACTATAGTAGGTCAGAGGGGGGTAAGTGTACTATAGTTGTATTATAGTAGGGGGTAAGAATGGGAGTGGCTACCAATAGAGGGGGGTAAGAGGGTCAAATGGGGTCATGGAAAAGCTGGGCCAAGAAAATGCTGGGAACTGAACATGGTATTAGGTAGACACGTGTACTGAAGGATCCAAGGCGGTGGGGACCACTGTGGGTATAGATAGGCAAAAAAAGTAAAAACTCTTAGTGTAGGCAAACAAGACCAAGGATGAGGAGTAGGGAGTAGGGAGTAAAGGTAGGCAAACCGGAAGGTAGGAGATGTAGGACTGTAAAGACACAAGGACTCAGGGATGCTGATGACGTGGGGATACGAGGTAGAGGGAATGTGGGGCCCAGGTAGATATGGTGGGAATGGATTGAGCAAGTAACATGTGGCCAGAGGGGCTGGCAAGGCATCCCTCCCCCGTGTGCCTTGGCCCTTTGGGGTTTATCCTACAGTGTGGCTGGGTGCTGCTAGCAAACGTCCCGACTTGCGGAATAACCGCCAAGGAAAGGCCAATTGGCAGGCGTGGATGACGCTGTAGCAACCATCTCCCGCCCCTTTGAACAGGCGGCTCGAGCCACAAGGGTAGGCTGTCTCTCCTTTCTGTCTGATCTCCCCCTCTGCTTGTTTCAAATTGTTTCAAAAACTTTGCTTGCCGGTGGTAAGAAACGGACTGATGCCCCCCACAATAGAACGGGCTGAGAGTGAGCGTAAAAAAAAAAAAAAAAAAAAAAAAAAGGAAAACAGAAAAAACCCAGGAAAGCTCATAGACAAAGTTTTTTTTTTTTTTTGCACTTAACAGAGCTCCAATGTATTTGTGGGGAGCGACACGTGCCGGGAACCTCTAGACAAAGAATTGTTTCTGAAGTTCTGAACAGTTTATTTGTGTTGTTACGATACTGGCTCTTTCCAAAGTGCAAATTCACAAGGAAAGATAATGCTGCCCAGTTGAGAAAGAAATGAAAGCACTTGCAAAGAGATAGAGAGCAAAGATGAAGAAAGAACGAAGAAAGGAAGAAGAAGAAGAAGATGTACACCAGCAAGACCAATGGCAAATCCCCCTTCTCTCTCCACCTTCCTCCTCCCCCCTTGTCTCCGCCGATCTTATTCTTCTCCCAAATTATAATAATAACAATGACTGGTGGAACCAGAATCAATATCCGAAGGTCCCTCTTACTGCCAGCACAACAATAGGTCCACCATGGCCATGTCTTCCCTCTTCGCCTTCCTCTCACATGCCAAGGCTATGGCGGACTACTAAGGGCTCTGCTTTCCTGTGCAAATGACAACACAAAGCAGCTATGGTCGCTGCTCATCAGGCTGCCATGCCTGACTCTGCCTCAAAGTTTCCTTGGTGCGGCATTACCTCAACCGGGGCCTTCCAGATGCAGCGCCTAACAAGGTGATGAAGATGGTGTCCACCATAGCCCGGCAGGTAGCCAGCTAGGTACCTCGCCACTCTCCTCCTTCACCCCCTTCTTCGTCCTCCTCAAGCTGGGCTGCTCGCAATAGCCAGGCTTGAGCGTCCAGCTCTCCTTCGTCCTCCCAGGCAGCGCTCTGAGACAGTGCCTGCTCAAGCAGTATGTCGCCCAACCTTGCACACCGCAATTGAGGAGGAGCTACTCGCTCCTGGAGATATAGCGCCCTACTTGCCTCTTGGGCGGTGACTTCCAGGCCGCGCGGCCGCCAAGCAACCGGTACTTCCTCCCTTTCGGAGGGAACATCATTGCAGGCCCTGATATCGTCCGTACAGGCCCTAGACTCAGGCTACTTGGAGTGGTTCCCGCCTAAGGTCCCTGCAAAAAGGATAAAATCATATTAAAATGTATCCTGCATAATATGATTTTAATCATTTTATCCTTTTTGCAGGGACCTTCGCCTGGAACCTGGTCGACCGGCCCACCCAGGTGGCGCAAGGTGGCCTGGGCAGCCCAGCTGTTAGCCTAGGGCTGGACCCTTTTCTTGGTGTCCTAAAGCACCTGGTCCAACCTGCTGGTTCAGCAGGTGGGCCTGGACGTCCAGTTGAGACCCAGGCCACACTTTTTTGCGCCTGGACCTCTCGACCAGGACTTTTGCCACTCTCCGGAGTCATGGGATCGGGTGATCCGATGGTCTAGGACCAATACTAAGGCAGGAGGCCAGCGGTATATAGCTGGACTCGCGAGTTGGCCTGGGTACTGGAGTTAAGTTGCTCATTCCATGCCAGCTTGCTGGAGATTAGTGTGTTAGTAGTCGTGTTTTAGCTCTAGTGGAAATAGGGGAAGAACTGGAGAGAGTGGCAGTCTGCAGTAGCAGTTTTGGCCACAGGAGGACTCACTTTGGCGCCATTGCTTGGGGACTTCATGCAAGCCATGGCCAGGATTCACTCTGCGATCTCGTGCGGCTCAAGACGGCACCTTTCTCTGTTAGTATCTGTGTGTGTGTGTGTGTGTGTGTGTGTGTGTGTGTGTGTGTGTGTGTGTGTGTGTGTGTG